AGGTAAGTAGTTCAGGGTTCTTTAGTATTTTGTTTTTATTTTTAAAAAACAGTGCTCCATACAGAAGTGGAGCTTAGATTATAATTATTTAAAAAAAAATATGATTCCTTCGCTTAATTCAATTTAATTTTACTAATTATATTGATGGAAACCATGGCTCTCGTTTTTGAAACATGAAAGCTCTTATGTAGCAAAGGAATCATATTCATTTTTAATAATTATAATATATATATATATATATATATATATATATATATATATATATAGGATGCAATGGGTAAATTATCGGCATTTTATATTTTTAATTTCGCACACGTCCGTTGTTTGGTCTTCATTTGATCGGTTGCACAGTAGAGTCAGTTGGGCACCGTCTGTGAGAAAAGAAAGAACACACGACGCAATTCACTCCGCCAGAAACGGCATGCTTTACTGCTTGGCATTCGCACCAGATGCTCCAATATTAATATTTCAGAATTTTTGTGTTTCAATCTGAGGACAGTGCAGTGGAAAGCGTTGGATGAGTATAATGGTGATTAAGAAGATACGGCAACTCGGAAAACTCACTCTGATCATTCTGATAAAAAAAAAGCTCCCGAATTTGTTGGAATTAGTGCCTTGAGGAGGTAGTGCTGGCCTGGGTCAAGAGCCAGAGACCAATAAAACGCTTTGTAACAACAAATATGAACTAAAAGCAAGGATTATGTTAGCATTCATTAACTTAAACAAGGAGACCGTCCAGAAGAGATGCAGGAGATTCTGAAATTGTCTGGAGGCCGTGGTTGAAGCCAATGGCGATTTTATTGAATAAATTTACTCTATAGAATTTAAAGATTTTTTTGTGTGAATTAGGTAAATATATCTGTTAAAATGAGATGTCAGTGTTATTCTTACTTTTGCATAATTTTGACAATATATATATATATATATATATATATATATATATATATATATATATATATATATATATATATATATATATTGCTGTATTTTAGAAGAAATATGCGTGTGTATGCAACAATGATTCTTTTATACTTGAAAAGTTCTTAATTTTTTTCTGGCATTAATAGTGGGTAGAAACTGTTCATATTGATTATTGGTTACAGAGAGTTTGAATGGCATTTTAACTGAGTCCTTATCGAACTAATATCGTTGAAGTGGTTAGTTAGACGTCTGTTAGTCGTGTAACCAATATAATTATTTTTAGTTTTAAATTTATTTTTAGATTTGCAAGCCTGGTAAACAACATTGGTGGTCATATAGACGTATTACACACAGTTTACTAAATAAAAATATGGCGTCTATTTCAAATACGAATTACCCATTATATCGTTTGAAGAATTATATATATATATATATATATATATATATATATATATTTGTAAAGAAAGGAATGCGTTTTTATTTGTTAATCCGATTGATTTTTATATGACTTAAACGTTATTTTTCGTGGATGCTAAACATCTGAGTAGACACTCCATTGATTTATTAAACAGTATTTTTATTTATCTTCGTCTACCGGCCTTAATATTCGAGAAATCATATTCTATGCAGTCTCCGACACGAACCAAGCCTCTGTGACCCTAGGAAGCACGATGTATTTAGTGACTGTTTCTGTTCGGGGAACGCAGGTTCGAATCTTACCGGAGACTACATATTTTTTCTCTAATAAGATTACTCGAATATATAAGTTTTTTTTTTCGTTTTTTTTTTAATGAAAATAGAATTTTGTTTAACTATGAAACTCTCCATAGCCGAGAGGTCAACCAACACCGGATTAGACAATGGTTCCTTCGTAGGTTTTTCCCGGGTGCGCTATGAATAATGTCTTAAGTAATATATATATATATATATATATATATATATATATATATAACGTCTTATATAATATATATATATATATATATATATATATATATATATATATATATATATATATATATATGGCGGGTATATGAATCGGGATATGATATGGATTGATATACATTCAGAATGATAGGAAACGTTTATCTATATAACAAATGCGAAAATATCTGTGTGTCACATTTTTTCAATTCAAGGGATACAACTCTCTAAATTTCAATAGCTTTATCTTCTTCTTCTATGAAATAAATGCGAATGTCAGTGTGTCACACTTTTTCAATTAAGGAAACAACACTCTAACTTTTAAGTATCTTCTATATAAATAAATGCGAATGTCAGTGTCTGAGTGTGTCACACTTTTCCCACTTTACTCCTAGAGGCCTTAGCCCAACATATCCATACCATTTTGGAAACAGGCTGACTCCATGAATAAATTAAAATTTGAATTCCTAAGTTTTCATTACTGCGATTGTTCTCGGCGATTTTTTACGTGTTTTTTTGGGGGTTTTTTCGGCGAATTTTTTTGTACGATAACAATTTAAAAAAAAAAAAAATTTGGGAATAATCGAAATTAGTTGCGTAATCCAGCGAAAGTCACCCATGAAATAAAATTAATCGTTTCTACGGAAAGTAAGGACCTACGCATATTCAATTGTCTTTAAATTAAAATGGCAGCAGAAGAATTATCGTTGAATTTTTAAAAGATTAAATATTAATGCAGTACTTAAATAGAGCGATCAATTTTGAGATCTTCCGTATTTTATTGTTGCCTATCGCACAGGGCAGCAGCATGCCTTGCAAAAAGAAATCTCCGCCAACAGAGGACCAGATTGCAATCAAAAGAGCCAAGGCTGCAGCAAGAAAAAGGAAGTCCCGTGCAAATGTAAACCCAGATCAAATGGCAGCCAGGAGAGCTTCTAATACTGAGAATATGTAGAGACTTAGGGACTCTCAAACTACTGAACAAGCCCAATCAAGAGCTCTCCACGGGAACTAGCTTAAATGCCGCTCGATAGGGCCGCTTTTAACGTAGTAAATTAATAAACCTTTTCTATTTGTTCCTTATCATATCAGTTTAACATTTTACATATTTAAAGAGAATTAATACAAGTAAAAGTTTTGTTGCCTAGCTGATTGATGTTACCTTCAGCATCCTAACTCCAGAATTTCATAGACGGACTCTCCGGGAATCACTCCGTCCACTCGTCAGTGGGCATCAGCATTTTTCCTTGGTGCATGTTTGTTTTCTCATAGCATATGTGTGTGTGCGTGCGTGTGTGCGTTCGCTCGCCCGTGCACCTAAGCATTCATAAAAAAAACATCAAGCATTCACAGGAACAATTCATTTTCGTTTAGCAACATTTTCACTTTATATCACTTAGCGTCCTCCATACATTCCTTTCTTTTCATAAGGCAAAATGTTTTTGGAATATTTTAGAATTTTCTCAAATTTAGACTTGAACGCATAACGTTATTTTATTTTCAAGGAAACTGTTTTCTTCATTATTTCACAATAACGTTTTAATATTTTATTTAATGTTTTATTTGATGGATTATCTGGTTCACACCTTTGAACAGGAGTAGATGTTTATACCTTGTTTCCTGTTTAGGATTGGGTTTCCGGCTCCTTATAAGGTCTACTTCCACCCTATACTTCTAACAACCCTGGCGGAACACTGAAATTTTATTTAATAAATAAATCTTGACCTTTTCAAGTTTGAGTTTAGGTGTTACCTTTCCTGTATAGGCCTAAGAACATCATTTCGTGTCATTTCTTATGTTAATACAACACCACAGAGTAACTGTCTACCTTGTGTGGCTCTTGGGCATTTTATTAGGTGAAAATAAGTAATATATATATATATATATATATATATATAATTATACATAATTATTCATATATATATATATGAATAGTCATATATACATATATATGTGAAAATTTCTCTGATTTAACTAGTAGAGAAGACAATATTTAT